CATGTATTGAATGTGACATCACCAGGCCCCACACCATCACCTCATTGCATCGCTGGTTATCATCAGTCCCCATCCTTGTTATGATGTCATTCGTGACATTATCAGGCCCTGCCCAGGGAGTCCTGTGTTTTCAGATGTTGGAAACATCGCAACTCCTCATGCCATATAGCGCATGTGTTCTCACCATAAGATTTCTGGCTATGGACCTGCTAGGCCTGTAGGTGAATTGGCAGTCAAGACATTGGCTTCCCAGACAGGGTCAAGGTCATATCAAAACATCTCAGATGTTTTGTCTCACATGTGTCCCGGTAGTGGTCAGCCGTAGGGCACACAGGGCTCGCCCCCTTTCACATCTGCAGCACCTGCAGTCAGTCTTCCCTTTCTCTTCCAAAGGCAGAGAAGAGAAGAGACTGGGTCTCCTCGGTGCCACTTTGTCTCCTTCCTTCCTTCCATTCTTATCCCCTCCCTTAAAAATGAAGTGGAGTCCCCTGCCCTGTGTGCAGCCACCTTCTTATCGCAGCCACCCCCCAGGCTCCACTCCACTTCCACCCCAGTCCTCACACTCTTGGCTCAGTTCTTTGGGAGGCGAATTCAAAACTCCCCAGCTAGGATGCGAGCGAGAGTGAGGAGACTGAGTGAGAGAAAACGCACCTTCTTAGTCCAAGGGAGGGACCCTGGGGCTGGGGAGTTGTGAGTGGGTGATGGTCCCTTACTGTTAGAAGAAAAGTTTTTCTTTATCCCAGAAACCCAAATAGGGTTGGGAGGATCTGTGACAGGCTTTGCTCTTTACCCACTCCAAGTTGCTCAGAAAGAAGGGATGGATGGGGAAAAGAAAAGGAAGGTGCAGTCTGGAAATGGCAGGCACAAGAATGGCAAAGTGAACTTACTTCACGACAGGCTTCCCCTCCCCACCTGCTTCCATGTTGTCTCACTCTAACATTGGTGATGGCTCAATTACTCACATATCATGTGTAGCATTAAACCCCATGTATTTTATTTATTTATTTATTTGTTTCTCTTTTACCCCGCCCTTCCCTCTAGGCAGGCTCAGGGCGGCTTCCAAGAACTGACAAGCAGTATACATTCACAATAAAATATAAAACATCAATTAAAACACAACCAATCAATATAAAACATTCATTAGATGGCGATAGAACTAAAGTGCAATTTAAGGACACATTCGGCGGTACCGCCACATTAGATCGTATAGGATCGGAGTTCACTACAGGGCGCTGCTGGTAAAACGTCGCTCCTATCGGAACGCCTGCCTAAAAAGTTCTGTTTTCACGGCCCTCCTCTGGTGTATTTATCCTGCAGCTACAATAAAAAAACCAGCACTTTTCTAAATCGGTGCAGAATGTCATTTGTGATGTGTGGTGGGTGTTGTCCAAAGTTTTTTTTTTTTTAATTATGCGATTGCCCTATTACAGCTGCACTGTAGCATCCAGCAAGCACCTCCTATATAAATCTTTGTGGTTCAGGTTTTAAATCTTTGTGGTTCAGGTTTTGTCCATGCATTTTAGTGTTAGTTCGCTGAATGAAAGGGAAGAGAAAGGAATGCAGGCAAAGGGGGGGGACCCACACTTTTTGTGAAGTTTTCCATATTGCCAAGCATTAGGGGATTCTTTGCTGTTTTATCGGCCACTGTGAAAAAATGGGAAACAGTCTCACAAAGAGTCATAGTATGGGGGAACATGTTGAGTGAGCAGAATGCATGGTAGAACCCACTGACACTGGCATTGCAAGCTGTAATTGGTGGCATCATGCGTGTCTGTGTGCCTGTGCAAAGTTGGCTGCAATTTGCATGGGGAGAAGCCCTCTGGCAGAATCTCTGGTGAGCTTTTTTACTTTTGTGCCACTAAATTGGAAAAAAGGGTATATTTTCATTGATGCCATAGTACAGCTGCATAGTAATGCAAATTCCTGCCCTTCTTTGCAAATTTGCATGGTCTTCTCTTTGTGATTCTCTAATTTCATCCTGCACAGTGGTTGTGATCTTGGCAGTTTTATAGAGCCTGTCCTGTGCGTATTACACTCTGTCCTCCAAATGAATCAATCCCAAGCGATTCTTAAGTTTGCTGATTTGCAGAAGATTCATGTGACTCAGCTGCCATTTTAATGTTAGGCTTCCAGAGACTGCCAAAATGGCCCTCCCACCCAAACTTTGTTCACTAAAGCATGAAAGGGAAAAATGTTTTCAAAACTTCAAGATTGCAATCCCAGTCTCTCTCTCTCTCTTTACATGTCATGTCAATTTCATACCATGCTAATGATCCCCCTTTATTTTGTTTGCATGCAGCACTGAAATCCTTTTTCTTTTCTTTTCTTCTTGCACTGCCTCCTCTCCAATCCCCCTTTCAAGTCAATACCAGAGGAAACTAAATCTCACACAGCTGTTTTTAAATTCCCCCCATTGTTTTATTTATTTTTTTACTTAGCAATCTGAGATTAGTGAGAGTTTTCGCTAGACTCATGCCACTTGTAAAAAAATTACAAATTTTAAAATGAGGGGGAAATGGAGCTTGTACACCAATGAAGGGGGGAGGATGGTGGAAGGTGCAGAGTGAGTGAAATGACCTTGATGTTGGCAGAGGAGTGACCTTTGAGGGGCAGCAAAAGGGTGGAGGAAAATCAGAGGGAATCCATATGCTTTTGAATTACCTTTGGCTTGGAAGCAAAATATGGGGAAAACTGGTGCAAAAGCACTCTCAGAAAATGCTATAGGGAGGAAAATCAATGCAGAATGACAAAGAAAACCCAATGGATATGCACAGTGAAAATGAGGAAAAACAGCCATACATAATAGGCCTATTGTCTCTGCAGGTTGTCATATGGTTGCTATTTTGTGTCCTTTTCCCGCCCTTCCCTCCTTGGATGTCTGATTTATATTACTATCCTGCTTCCAGGTGACCAATATAATTTACTCTGCTTAACTCCACCAATTTACATTGAAGAAATGGTTCTTTGGGAAGTTTCTGTTATTCTTCTGATTTTTTCTTTTAGCTCCAAAAAGCTAATGCTTTGTTCTGTCACTAGGTGTCAGTATTGCAGTTTCTTGTTTTAGGAAGACTAAATCTATATTGTGTAATTAGGTTTCAGTATTCCAGCTTCTGTCTTCAGAAGACTAATGATCTGGCACTAGGTGTCATTGTTTTGTTATTCTTGACTTCTTAACCCATAATTCTCTGCATTCTTCTGTTCCTTTAAAATCAAGTCATTCTCCCAATCAAAAACAAAAGCAAGCAAAGAAACAAAAAAAGCAAAAACCATCCCTCCCCAATGTCTACTCTCAGACACAGAAAAATAAGCACACACTGGTTGTATAGATTTTTCCTTGAAGCATTCATATAGTTTAAAAAAAGCTTCTCTTTGATTGTGATTGCACAGACATAAGAAATTTGTGACCTGGTGCAGCAAGCAATACAATTACAGTGACCGTCTACCAAATATTGTCAAATTGTTGTAGCTGTAACCATGGACAGACTGGGTAAAGTCTGACGTCTTCTTCACATTAGCCGGCATAAGCTGAAGTCACTTTGTATGGAGACAGTTTTGATTGTGTGAATTTGTCCTTAGACTTGCAGTTCCAGAATGTCTTTTTCTTTCTTTCAATGGAACGTAGCAATAGCTACAGCAACTTTAATATAGTGTTTTCTGGTGTGGTCTACTTATGCAGCCAAATAGCGGGGAGTGGGTTGATAGAGTCTTGATGTGAAAGGACAGATTGTACCACTTCAGGCTGTAGGTGAGGATATCATTTTGAATCGTCTACCATGTTAACAAAAATATGCACCCCGTTAAGTCCCTAGTGCATCAGAGGGAGAGCTGAGCTGGAAATTTTGCCAATTGTGTACTAGATTTCTACTTACAGGGAATTTCATGCACAGGAACACTGAAAATATGATTCCTTTGCATGCATTCTAAAGTGTTACAATCCATTTTCCCACTTCAGGACTCTACCACCTCTCTGGGTTAGCTCTGTAGACCAGGTCTCACGCACACAGCTATGCCAATGTATATAGATTACAACTGGGCAATTTGTGGTAATCTCACAAGGGGGGAAGAGAAGGGAGAAACATTTATGCAAGACAGGAGGCTAGACGTATGCATGCAGTTTATTAAAAATACAGAAGAGGGCTTGGAGTTCTTGATCAGAAGCAAAACATAGGCACTGACATTATACCTGTGTAGCTATAGAAAAGCACAGGAGGATTGCAACCAGAACTCAAATGGAACAGTAATGCATGCACTGAACTGTGGGTGAAGCACATAAAATGCTTGGATTTATTGCAATTTATGCAGAAACAGATTTTTTTTAAATTGGTTTTACAAAGATTTTGAATGTGTTCTTTGAATTCCATCCCTCACTTTTTTTGTGGCTGGAATGCCCTTCTTGCCACCAAAATCCAAGCACTGATAAACACATACAGACATGACACTGATACACCCCCACAGATTCCCCTCCTCCCCAAAATCTTGAAAATTTGCTGTGGACTCAAAATTTGGATTTTCTTCCTGAGTTTCTGCCATGCAGTACTAGGAATGCCAATTTCCTCCTAAATTTTTTGCAGGTCTGGTTGTAACAACACTCATTTCTTGTACGCTTTGGTCTGCTTTGGTCTATTGGGTTTTTATCTTTTCTTTTCTTTTTTTGCAATCCCATCCTGGACCGTTAACATATTGCTTCCCTTTCTGAAATGCTTTGCTGGGCACTGTGGAACAAGGGATTAGGAATCTGGATTCAAATGCTATGGGTCCTAATAGAGACAGTTGCAAGAAAACCCAGGGAGAAAAGGGGGAAATAAGAAAACTGGGTGGGGATTTGGCTTGAATAGCCAAGCTTATTCCTAAAGACAACTACCAAACCACTTGAACTCAAGCTACACCAACCCACAAGAAACTATTGTGGGTAAAAACATTTCTTCTAACCATAACATGGCTGTTTGGCACGGCTGTTTCTCAAGCTCATGGCTGCTACCAGCCATGAATTGAATGATTTGTGCAGCTGTCATATGGAAATCATTCCTCCCACTAACTAACTGGGCCTTAATATCTTCTGGATGTGGAACCGACTGATGAGACATGCACACTTCTGGCACCGGCACTGCCTTCACCTCGGGAACTGAGCACAGCTCCTGCCATGCCTCCATGTCCAGACCCTCCAGAGCTCTGCCTTCCCAGCTTCCCGGTACTTCCAGATGCTGCTCCTCCATGATGAGTTCCACCTACTCCATGGTGTCCATTCCCACTACTGCTATCTCCAGACTTGCCTGAGCTGTGTCTTCCCCCTCCAGAGGTCACCACATGCTTGCTGGACACGCTGGAGGAATAGCCGCCACTTGTGGGGCTAAAGCCACCACTGCCTACCCCAGAGGTGTGTCCCATCCCATAACCCACCGATGCTGACCTGCCTACTGGGTTAACTGAAGCTCTGGAGCCCATGGTGTGGATACATCCTGCACTCGCATTAGTGAACCCTTCAGCCACATTACCATAAACCCCAATGCCATGTTCTACTCCTCTCCCTACAGCACCATATGCCATTCCAGCTCCCATTCCAGGTACGCATTCGCCAACTGGGTATCCTCCACTCATCAGAGCTGCAAAGGAAATAAAACCAAATGGGTTTTGTAACTTTGGAAGCAGATTTGCAAAATACAAAAAAACCCAATAAAAACTACTCCCCAATTCCATCATGATGCTTATTTTTTAGAAGGGAGGGGGGAAGAATGGTGAATCTTTTGTATACTTACATACACTAACAGGGTTTCCTGTGCATATCCTGTTAGGAAGACAAAAGCAAAACAGGTCTGTTTTTCTACAACTGCATGTAGTTTATATGGACTTTTGATCATTTAAAAAGCCAATTTAGATTGCAAGGGAGTATAAGACTCCAGGGTTGTTATCTGGCCCATTCCATATAAAAGATCTCTGGCACCAAATGAGAGAAACAGCCTCTTGTAAAGATCTAGATTCAAGAACGAGGGAGTCAGGACAGACCATTGGTTCTATTGAGCCGGCCTTGGCTGGGAGGGCGGAGTATAAATGTGAGAAATAAATAAATAAGATTCCAGCTATAGCCATGCCTAAGAGTCTGATAGATTTGTGGCTTCTGGTAAGTTATGGTGCATTATGCACGAGACAGAGAAGAGATGGGTCCTATTGCCATCTTGGCCTCCCCTGCCCATGGTAGACCTACAGATGCCTACTATCCTACTAACATCTAACAGAAGTGTATTAGGCTTCTCTGGACTGATGTTATTTTTTGCTGCCATCCTGTTTTTATTTAATTGGTTTTTAATAGTACATTTATTGTTTCATCTCTGTTGTGAGCTGTCCTGAGCCCATCATGGGATAGGGTGGGATATAAATGCAATAAATAAATAAATAAATAAACTGCCTCTTGGCACCTCATCTCTATAACTGCCTCTTGCAGTTCCAGTTCGAGATTTCATGCAACCATGAACAAGTTGGTGCCTTGACAGAACAATCCTATGCAAAGTTACTGCAGTCTAACCTCATTAATTTAACATCTTAGGCTGAAGTAGCTGCACAGAATAGCACTGTGCATTTGCTTATTTCCCCCTTCCCTTTCATGGCGTGTCGCTAAGTTTCCTTCTGCATTGCTGATCATTATTTCAAATTACAAACTGCTTTGACTTGTTGAGGCCAAAAGACGATCTCTGCATGTAATGAAACACATCAGTCAAATTCTGCCTTGCACCAATTCTGCTTTAAGGTGAATTCTACAACAGGATTGCACATTAAGCAGGCTGGCATAGTTCACCAGATCGCCATTTGACGGTCGTAAGGAAAGGCAAAGTGCAGTGGTAGCAACTGAAGTTCTCCCCCTCCCCACCCCACCCCCCGGGTTGCTTCTCTGGCTTCTAAAGATTTCCCCAAGATTTCTTCCAAGCATCTCTTCACATTCATGAGGGCTAGACATTTTGAAAACAGATTTGTTTTGCATGATGCTGAATGTTGCACCTAGGACTAATATATTTTATATTTGTGTGGAATATATCTAGAATGCATCTAGGCTTAGAATAGAATACATCTATAGAATGCATCTAGACTTAAATCACAAAACAGCAAAAGCAGAGTCACGCTAGAGCAAGGTAACTTCCCTCCTCCACCCTCACTCTGTGCCATCCCAAAACTGTGCTTATGTGGGTCGCGGGGCCTGAGGGAACAGAATGGGGAGCAAACTGGGGGTCTGCAGCAGGAAAGAGAAGTGGGCAAAATCTCTCTCCCCTCCTCTGCAGTGGAATAACCATTCTGTCAGAGGAGCCACCTCCCACCAGCCCCATAGCTAGGGACTTTTTTGGGAGGGGGCCATGGGTGGGCTGGCAGCTAATTTAATCAAAAGTTCCAGGTAACCCTCCACCAGTGGCAGCAGGCCATGTGCTCTCTTGGCCACTTCACCGGGCAGGAGGATAAGGCGGGTGGTGGTGGTTGAGGGAGGTGGCGGCAGCGGTGGCGGGCATCCTCCTCCACTCCCCCCGCTCAGTGCGTCGCCTCCAGTCACGAAGGTCACGGAAGCCGGGAGGGAGCCAACACCACGGGGGTGGCTCAGAGTGCAGGTAAAGAGCTGCCCCTCAGTGCCTCTGGCACATGCTCTCTGCTGCTCCCTTAGAAAAACTCCCACGGGGCTTGTTGGGGGGACTCGGGTGGCAGTGGGGGAGGCAGGTGGTTTTTAAAGCAGGCACACGCGGGCTGGAGTACAGAGACCGGTCCTGTGGTTAAGAAAGGGTGGATGGTGAGGAAGAGAAGCCAGCAGGAGCTGGCAGCAACTTGGCTGAGTTTAAAGGGGAGGAAAGTATTGGAAGGTAGCTCTGGGGATGAAGGATTCCACTTCTCTGGAGTGCCCAAGGAGCTCAGTTGTCGGGCAGCCAGGTTGGAAGCAGCACAGCGTGCAGGTAGCAAGTTGAGGCACTTTGGGGACAGCCCGGGAGGGAGGTGGCCCAGAAAGAACGTGAGGGGGCCGGGCCCCGCGGGCCCCACGTTAGCTACGGGCCTGCCTCCCACACTCCTGCATTGATAGAACAACAGCACAGGATCTAAGACACAGGCTGCAATCACAAACACTAAATAATCCACTTTCAATGCACCTTCCAAATGGATTTTACTGTGTGAACTGGCAAAATCCAATTGGAAAGTGCACTGAAAGTGCTTTGAAAGTGGATTATTTAGCGTGTGCAATCACAGCCACAGTCTCACAGTGCAATCCTAAACAGCATTACATCCTTGGAAACGCACTGACTTTGGAGGATATTGAGCGACAATCTGACATCTCTAAGGCTTCCAAACTCGGGGTGTTGCTAAATATCAAAAGCACCATTGAGCCACCAATTTATTATACTTCAGTGGAGGGAAAGAATTCTAGAAGGGCATTTGCCCTAGCTAGACATTCTGCCCTTCCACCTGCGGTTATTCAAGGCAGGTACAACAAAAACCCCTGCTCTGAAAGGCTATGCCCATGCCTTTTGAGCGAGGTTGAATCGGTGGAGCATATGTTCTTCAACTGTCCATTTTACAGGGAGGCTCGTCTTAAAATTATTACTTCATTAGTTGATAGGACACCTGGGCACATTAACACAAACAAAGCAAGGCTTCACTGGTTCCTATCAGACAAGAATGCAGAGATTACACATTCAGTCGCTGAGTTTTGTGCATTAATTCTTAGATTGCAGGAATCACATTTTCAAAGTTCTTAAATTCAGATTTCTATTTTTGTATATTATGACTGTTTTTTCCCCCTCTCCCTCACATATTATGCTTACTTTGTATGTTGGTCTTAAGACTGTAATAATAAAACTAAACAGGTTCCACTGATTTCAGTGCATTGAGAAAGGTGTAACTCTGATCAGGACTTGCCTTGATAGAATCAGCGATTCTCCACTTTTTCTCTGCATCAGCCATGTCACTATTTCTTTGCCCTTCTTTGTACTGAAGAACTCTGAACATCCCTTTTCAAGTTTAGCACAGCTTCTGTTACAGTGTTTGTGGATTTACACACAGAACCCACCTGCTCTCCTCTCCTTCCAGCAATGCTCTGTAGGTAGCAATCTCAATATCTAGGGCCATCTTGGTGTTTAGCAGCTCCTGGCAATCCCGGAGCAGGCCAGCTAGCTTATCCTTGGCCTGCTGGTAGGCATTCTGCAGATCAGCATGCTTGCTTCGGGCATCTTTCAGGGCAACGTCGCCACGGTGCTCAGCATCACAGATCGCTGACTGCAAACCGGCAACCTTGGAACAGGAAGGAGGCCAAAGAGAGAATTCGTCATGAAGATGCACAGCTAAGAAAGGATGCCAATGGAGCAAGGGGGCCGGTTCTTCAGGCTCAAGAGGAAGAGACCAACAGGGCATCATGTTATACTATAAACGTAGCTGATGCCCAATAAAAAGGCAGCTCGCTGACGTGGTGAGGTTAGGAAGGCTCCCACGTTGTTATCCTGCTACAGAATTTGTGAAATGCAATTATCCCGGAGGAGGGCTTTTTAATAAAGGGAATAGGGTCTTAATTAATGTCTGTGACATTTTGGGGAGTTTTTATCGCTTTGTTCGTTGTACACATTATACTGTTGCACCGTTTCTCCAATTTTTGTGATCCAGTTTTGTTCAGTGGATTGGATCTGGGCTACGTTGGCATTTTCCACCGGCCCCTCCTTCCCACTGCTGACCCCTCTGTTGTCATTCCTCAGGATCCCCTGTCCACCAGGAGCAGCATTTTGTGGAGAGCAGTGGGCGGCAGCAAAAAAAAGTTCCTTTCTGCAGTTGGAAAATTTAGTCTGGATCCAGCCTATTGTTCAATTTATGTATCGTACTGTTTTTGTTCATGTAGTATGTTGTTTACTAGCTGTACTATATGTAGCATAGTTGGTATAGCCACTAATTTTGTAATCCCATGTCATTGCATTGATGATTGTATGTATGATACTGCTCTGACTGTATTGTTTTTAGTTGCATTGTCCGCCTTGAGTCTCAGTGCGATAAAGTCTTCCTCTTACTATCGACTGGCCTTCTGCTATCTGAACATTGTACATTTTCTTCTTCTGCCTGAAATGGCAGCCAGTGGTGCGAACAGTGGAACAGGCCACAAGGAAATGTACGAGTTGGGTAAATTGTCTCAGAGATTCCAGGGGGAAGCTAGAGACAACGTTGCTGTGCTGAGTCTGAATTTTACAGTTGGGATGCAAAGTTATTGAACAGCACGCTCAAGTCTCTGAATGGTAAAACTGGATCTTTGAGCCCACAGTGAATATTTGCAAGTATTCTGTTCTGCTGCACTTTCCACTTCTGAGTTTATGGGGTTGGGTATAACATAACATTTCCACATGTATCAGAGCTCTTGGGCAAGTGGAAGCATGTTTTAAAAAAATGCTTGCAGGCTGCTTGCACTGTCAGTTGTTAGATCCAAACTGCCCTTTGGGTGCATGCAATATATTGCACAAGGTACCCCTCTAGGGGCTCGTATGGGAAGCTATGGAAAGCATCATAGTGGGCTTAGGCTATGGGTAGTATTGTGTTGCACTAGCATTTGTGCTATCTTTTGCACAAGTGGAATAGTGCTAAGCTACTTTCTTTTCTGCTCAGACATCATTGGATCCAAACCACGGTCTCCTGTTAGGATCCTATTTCTGCATCTTCGCATTTATCTGTGATGTTTAGGGAATCTGATCACAACGGTGTTCTAATATGTAAAATAACTTATTTCTGAACCAGAGGCAAACTCCACTCTTACACACTCTAAACGTCAGCCTTGTGTGGGTATAAGTGAATTCCATGCCCTTGTGGTTTGGCACAATTCACTAGAAGCACACACAGGCACAACAGACAAACTTCACGGGTGGGTAATTTTAGTGTATCTGAGCAACTGAATGATCTAGTCACATTAAAACTAGGCAGAGATCTACAGAATTACCTGTGCCCAACTAAAGCAAAGAAAAGGAAGCCAGGCCAGAGCAATAAATCATTCAGAGATGTAGCATGCACACCTCCTCTGGATGGGTCCTTTGGCTTGATAGGAGCCTGGACTATTTATCTCTTGTGGCACACTAGCCATGATCTCATAGCTTGACTTTGGTCTGCCATAGCTTATGCCATGAGAGGAGGCCATTCTGGGAGGTGGGGGGTGTTTAGGAAAACAAGATTTATCCTACCTGCTTCTTAGCACTATCAGTATCACTTTGCAATCTCTGGATTACTCGGTTGAGCTCCATAATCTCATGCTGGTTGCATTTCAGCTCTTCATTGTATTTGCCCCGATGATTCTGAATCTCTGCAATCTATTAAGTCACAAAAAATATGGATGAAGTCATGTCATTATAATCAGTGATGTCAGACTCACAGGGCACTGTTCAATAGAGGCCTGTGACACTGCTGGAAGCACATAGGGGATGACACCCCTAATTACAATGGCCTACCAGTCCATTGAGAAAAGTATGAAGACTTCATCCAGCCTAAGGAGGCCTCATCCAATTTGTGGTTCTTCCACTGGTGGAAGACTCCTCTTTTCATTGGATGGGGAGCGCCTTAAGTTGAAGGAAGTTGGAGTTCCTAAGCATTTGTGGTGAAGAAATCACATAAATTCAACAGTAATATGCTGAATGCTACAGAAACATGAGCCCCTCTCCACCAGAAGTCTTTCCTTGAGGGCAGACTGTGGATCCCCCCCCAAAAAATAAATAAAGTACAACTGTATATTTTTGCAGTTTAAACTGAACATCTGGAGAAGACCAAAAGTGTGGACCATTCCTATTCAAAAACAGGCATTCTGATTGTCAAACTAAATACCTTGTTGTGGTAAAAAGCTTCGGCTTCTTGCTTGCTTGTGTGAGCAATATTCTGATACCAGGCTTCAACATTATTCAGGATAAGATCCATATCCAGGTCTCGGGTATTGTCCATTTTCAGAACCACTGATGTGTCACAGATTTGGTGGTCTAACTGAACTAACTCCTGCAGAACATAGTAAGTCTTTGTTGTTAGATCCCGCACTGTTGACATGTCTCTCTGAACTAATGTGAGCATAATTTCTTGCAGCAAATTTTGTAGATTAGATTCAAATGAAAGGTGGGCTAAAGAGGCCAATGACCGGGCTACTCAAATTAGTGTTTTGTTTCTAATGCTTATTGTGATAAATTTTGTGGTGATGCATTGGATGAATAATGACAGGTGCTTGCAAGACACCTCCAAAGACATTGTTGTAGGGAGTAACTTTCAACCTAAGTTAACACATAGTGGAGTATATCCTACCACTCTGCATGGAACATGGAGTTTTCCTGTGTCCCTCTCTGTTCCTGCAGACCCTTCCACTACCTAGAAAGATAATTCCCAGAACTTTGGGACCCCCATGGAGGAAAGGCCATGTAGGCTAATGGAGGCTGGACTGAAGAAGGGGGTTGAAATTGCTCTTCCTTTTCTTCTACAAGCTCAGCTCTGCTCTGCTGAAGGAAGTAGTACATTTCAACCCCTCAGTCCAACCCACTGACCTACCCACAGCTGTTTCTTGACATGGATCCTTCAGTTCCAGGAATAGTCTTTCTGGGTAGTCAAAAGGCACTGCAGGAATGGAGAAGAATAAAGAAAACTCTGCTCATCTCCCATGCCAGGATGGCTGGATACATGCCATGTCTTCAGATGGAACATCATTATTCTCATTTGACAGCTAGGGAAACCAATGTAGAGATGTTCTATGAGCCCATAGTTATTCGGCAAATCTACATGGTAATGATCAGACATGACTGTACACACAAATATGGGACCTTTAAAAATCACTATTTCTTGTTTCCTTAAGGGCAACTTTTCTGCACGGTTCATGGGATGTGGAATTTTACCTGTGCAAAGACACATCTCAGGGCTTCCAGTTCCTGTGCCAGCACATCTACTTTAGCTTCCAGCTCTTCCTTGGTGAGGAAGACAGAATCCACATCCTGGGGACAGAGAGTGAGAGAGAGTACATCAGAAACTGGATTTTTAAGAAGACTGAAAATAGAAGCTACAATATCCTGTAGATAGATTTTTATTTTTCATAGTCCAATAGAACAAGAAGTTAGCCTGCTTGAAGTCTGGTCTCCTGCATGTTATTTAGAAGTCAGTTCCACTGGGTTCTATGGAGCTTATTCCTTAATCAGTGTTCTTAGGATGCAAGCAGCACTAGCCACTAAATTTTCCAGACTGGCCATTCCTTCTGTCATACAAATGTGGTGAATCCCACTGCCTCGATACCTGATACATCCCTCTTATATCTTAACCCCCCCCCCCAGCTTTCTATTTAAAGAATACACATTAGGCAGCTTCACTTCTATCTCTGTCTAAACGTGTTGAAAATATTTTGAATGATTTAGTTGATCCAGTGAAAAATTAGATCCTGATCCAAAGTCCTTTGAACAATCTGATGCTCATCATAGAAAGATACAGACAAAACTTCAAATTTTAAAAAGTTCGTCTATATCAACGTAAACTATGTTGTTACATACAAGAAGAGTATAATTATCCATCACTCACAAGACAATTTACTATATCTGGCACCTCCATAAACTTCGCTTAAAGATCCTTTTTTGCTGGACCTGACAGCCATTTGTCAATTGTACTGAATGTACTGTGACTGATGAACAGTGAGGTATCATCATTCTTGGCTGCATAATAAGATTGAAATGGCTATCTGATGCTCACAAGGTAAGCAAGCTGGTGGCACCTACATTTACTTCAGTGAAGAAGTAAATGCACCTGTGTTTGTTTGTGTGCACCATTATGCCCTTTCCAATGAAGTACATGGGGAAAACCACTGTGCACGAAGAACTTCTGTTCTACCATTGCACTTGCCCTGGTTTTATTTCTATATTTTCCCGACCAGAGCCTCACCTTTTTGAGCACCACAAATTCATTCTCTGCAGCTGTGCGCCTGTTGACTTCATCTTCATATCTGTTTCAACAAAATAAAAAGGGGGGGGACCCACAATCAATAGTCTGCTCTTAATATCAGAGGAACCAAAACAGAAAGCAGCTCATTTTGGCATGTTTTGACCAAGCCATTGATCTTACCATAAACATGTGCCTGTATAAAAAAACAGAAATGGCAGCCTTGGATTGAGCCTATGGGATGAATATCACTTTTAATGGACATTTTTAGTAGCAGCACAAAGCACCACCCTCCATCTAGTGAGTTTTTTTCCCCAAGGCATGTATTGAAATGAGCTGAAAACCACTCCAGCACAAGTCATGGAGATCAATAATACAATTGGCTGTAATCAGTTGCCCGTGTGACTTGAGGTAGGAAGAACAGTCCTCACTTTCAGTTGCCTTCAGTGATGGAGGCTGGAATATTCCACCCCATGAGCGGCTACTGAATGAACCCTTAAATGATGAAAGATCTGCTGAGCAACATAATGGGTGGTAGAAGAACTTGTAGTGAAAACTGCCCTCCATCTAGCTTTGAGGCATTGGAGGCTGGGGGTGGATGGTTAGGCTGACTGGCAAGCCTTTCCCCCCTTGATTAGTTTTACTTACTTTGACCGGTATTCCTCGACTAGTTCCTGCATGTTCTTCTGTTCGTGCTCCAGTTTCCCTCGCTCGTTCAAGACACACTCCAGCTGTTTCTTAAGGGTGGCGAGGAAATTCTCATAGTAGCCTTCAATGTTCTTCCTTGTAGGTTGGACACATTGTTGGAGCAGCTCCCATTTGGTTGAAAGTACTTTGTTCTGTTGCTCCAGAGATCGGACCTGAAAGGGAAACACTATGCCAGGAGTGCTTTTCCGATGATAAATCTGTCAACATGGACCTGTTTTTCATTGCCCCTTGCATAGTGCAATTCGGTGTATCTAAAATCTCACTCTAGCACTCATTTCAAATAGCCAGATGCAAGCTCTAAAATCTACATTTTGTTGAAACTCAGGCGTGGCTGATATCTTGGGTTTGTAATATCGCTTGAGGTGGTCCCGAGTGGTTGTAATGGTCATATCTTAGGGCAATTTCCAATATTAGGCACTGACAGACATCAGCATGTTGCTTGCGCTGCAGTTAAGCCACCCAGACATGCATGCAGATAAGTAAATTTCCATTTTTTTAGACTTAAAAAACTTAGCCGTGCAGCTGATAATTAATACATGTGCAGTGGCCCTTAAGTGAAGATGTGTATCATGATACAATATGAGGTGCAAGTCCGGCAAGTCCAGCAAATAGGGATGCCAGCCTCCAGGTGGGACCTGGAGACCCCCCTGGAATTACAGCTCATCTCCAGACTACAGAGGTCAGTTCTCCTGGAGAAAATGGATGCTTTGGAGGGTGGACTCTATAGCATTGTAGTTCCCTGAGGTCCCTGTCCTCCACAGACTCAATTCCCAAACCTCCATGAATTTCCCAGCCTGGATCAGGCAAGCCTACCCACCCATCCCCTGCCAGTGGCCAAGGGGACCTGGCAACCCTACTACCATGGTACATATTAGAAAAATAAGAATGGACTTGCTCTGCATCGCTGACATGGCACAGAGCAGACTAACTCTGGATCCTGCAGATTCAAAGAGGTTGAGCCTTGTCAGTCCCACCTTTCACCTCACAGAGTGGTAGGCCAGTGAATATACATGAACACATGAAGCTGCCTTATGCTGAATCACACCACTGGTCCCTCAAGGTCAATATTGTCTGCCCCGACTGGCATAGCTTTCCATGATTTCCAGTAGAGGTCTTTCATATCACCAGCTACCTGATCCCTTTAACTGGAGATGCCAGGGATTGAACCTGGGGCCTTGTGCATGCCAAGCAGATGCTCTACCACTGAGCCACTGCCCCTCCCAATGTGCACAATAGCCTTTTGGCTCCATTGGCCAGGCTGCAACCTTTCAACTATTAGGAATGTTTGTCCTGACATCCTGAAGGAGGTAGCCTCTTTCTTCCAGTATTCTCTAATAAGCCAGAAGTTGCTTTGTGCTAAGCTACAGCTATAAAAATAAAATAAAACTGTAGCCTTGTTAAACCCAAGGTAATGTGTCATGTAGTCCTTATGGGGCTCAGGGACAAATGCCTGTTCTAAGAATACTTTACATTAACTGAGTCATAGCCCCCAAATTGTTCAGAAATTGGGAAAACCAAGGCCAAACCTCTATTGACAGTTAACTTATGTGTCAGATAAAACTGTCTCCTATTTCTCTCTGGAAAATGAACAAACTGTTCAAACACAGGTCCAGAAACAGAAGGACTAGTCTGCCCTTGCAGCAGAATGAGATGATGGAATCCTGAGGTGAAAAAGTGAATTGGTCAAATTGCAGATAGGGTTGCAGGCCTCCAGGAAGGGCTGGAGACCTCCCGGAAGTATAACTGGGCTCCAGATGACAAAAAATCAGTTCTCCTGGAGAAAATGGTTGTTTTGAAGGGCACACTCTTTGGCATCACATCCCTGCTGAATTGTCTCCCCTCCCCAAACTCCACCCTCCACAGGCTCAGCCTCCAAACCTCCAGGAATTTCAGAAGCTGGAGTTGGTTACCCTTTGTTGCAGGGAGAGAAAGCCATTTTGGAACACTCCCCCTTGTTAACAATCCCCTTGTAAATAAAAATTGGAACATATTAGGGAGAAAGGGTCTAGAACTGTTCGCCCTAATGTGTTACAGCGCCGGCAAAAGCATTCTGCCTATGGTTGCCAGCTCTGGGTTGGGAAATACCTGGAGATTTTGGGAGTGGAGATTGAGGAGGGTAGGGTTTGGGAAGGGGAAGGACCTCATTGGAATATAATGCCATGGAGTCCACCCTCCAAAACAGCCATTTTCTCAAGTAGAACTGACCTCTGTGGTCTGGAGATCATTTGTAATTCCGGGAGATCTTCAGGGCCCACCTGGAGGCTGGCAACCTTGAACCACACTGAGTGATATAAAGACCTCTATACACACATCCTCATGTTACTGAGTTTCATGATACACCTTCCGTGTTTTGATAGCTATTTTGCAAGTTATTTTGTTGTTGAAGTTTTGAAGTGTGTCCCGTTAGAGAGACAGTAGTCTGTTGCTGGGCGAACTAGGGCTCTCTATACTGAAAGAGAAAGGAATGTGGGAGAAAAAGAAGAAAGATGGAAGAAAAAGTAGAGCAGGGGTTGTAAGAGGGACAGAAGTATAAAACCTAATGTTAAGAATCCTGCTCTATGTTGTCTCCTTGCCTGTCTTATGCTACAAAAACACCTTTGATCCGAAACGTTTTCTGTCATATTTTCTACGTTTGGTGTAGTGGTTAAGTGCGCAGACTCTAATCTGGGAGAACCGGGTTTGATTCCCCACTCCTCCACTTGCACCTGGCTGGATGACCTTGGGCAAGCCGTAGTTCTGATAATGAGCTGTTCTTGAAAAAGAGCAGTTTCTGTCAAGAGCTCTCTCAGCCCCACCTACCTCACAGGGTGTCTGTTGTGGGGAGGGGAAGGGAAAGGAGTTTGTAAGCCACTCTGAGACACCTTTGGGTAGTGAAGAGCGGGGTATAAATCCAATCTCTTCTTCTTCTTCTCCACATGTAGGCTAAAACGGCAGTTGCAGAGACTGTACTGAATTGCTGGTTCTGGTTGAAAATGGCCATGGAAAAAGTACTGCTAACTGATCTTGATTTGTGTTTTGTACAATTTTAAGGTATGTGGGCTAACGTGGGGATTTTAATGAGAGAATTTAATTTATTTATCTGCTAACCCCTTTGAACCACAGTTTTGCAGAAAATGTGGTATAATATGTTTAAATAAATAGTTGCAAAGAAGGGGCCTAAAATGGCCTAAAACAGGGCAAAATGGCCTACAATATATAAAGAGTGTGGAAAAAATGGCATAAAATTGCATGTAAGAAAAACTGGTGTTAAAATACTATTTTAAAAAACAGGGACACTAGTGATGAAAAAGAGGTGAAGCAAAAGTCTGGTAAGAAATGGGAGGAAGGGAGTGCAGTAAAGTGCCCCTCATTCAGAGTGAATGAGGAACTCCTTATAAGGGTTGGACTATTTGCCAATAGCTCTTGCACCCATGAGGAATCACTGACTTGATGTTAACCATTTACATTTTGCAGGTTACAGTCAACACATTTATTGTCCTCTACAGACTCCCAAATGAACATACAGCATTTAATTTTATATATTTGTGTATTAGGATATTGTCTCTGGTCCCAGAGGCTTACAATTTATGTAAAATTGGTTGGTCCCAACTGAAGGGAGGAAAAAGGGTTTGAGGAGCAGAGAATTTGGGGGAAGGAGACCAAATGATAGACAGATCACTGAAGAAGCAAGCACCTTGTTCAAATTCTGCGTCTCAGCAGAAGGTCTTATGCAATCATCTCTTTTATCACCCTCAGTTCCTATCCGCAATGTAAACATCATAATCCGAATCTACTTTAAAGTGCAGTGGAGATATTTGGAAAGAGAAAAAAGAGCTCTGAACCCTACCGTTATATAAATGCCAAGGACAAGGTTGCAGGAAAGGTTTTCAGAAGCAAATTTCAAGGTGGTTGTGACTCGAAATACATCTGGGTATCAGTTGGTTTAGAGATGTTAGGGAGGTTTAGGGGATGGTAGGATGAGGGAGCACCACAGCAGATGGCAGCAAGGCCTTAGAGAGAGAGAAAGGAGCGACAGGAATGAAGAGCACTGAAAGGAAGTTGGAAGTAAGTGCATTCCACACTTGTAGTAAACAGGAGAAGAAAGATGGGTAAAGTCCATGCGCTCTCACCTTATCAATGAAGCAAGCAAACTGGTTGTTAAGTGTCTTCATCTCCTCTTTCTCTTGTGCCCGTGCTTTGTGCTCCTCTGGATCAACTCCAACAGAAATGGGCCTCAAGAGACGCTCATCGATACTGACTCGTCGGATTCCTTTGCCTCTGCCTGGTATACCACCCATCCCACCAAAACCTCCAAGCTGTCCCTGAACATCAACATAGCCTCCTCCAAAGCCTCCATAGCCCATGCCACCCACCATCCCCATGCTCTGCCCACCCATGCCGCCGTAGATGTGTCCTCCGTAGCCCGGACTGTAAGCGATTCTTCGGCCTCCACTACCATAGTTATTGAGGCTCATGCTGGTGTAGCCACCAGGTCCGCATTGTGCTCCAACTGGCTGGCACACAGCGGCGCAGCTGCCATGACCACCACCAAGGCCACCAATGACAGAAACAGAAGAAAAGGCCCTTTGTCCACCCAGGTACCGCGGACCGGCACACACATTCATGGTAGCTTTGGGAAAGTTAAGCAAGCTGTGTTAGTGAAGCGGCTGGAACGCGGGAAGAGCAGAGGGGTGAAGGAAAGAGAAATTCCTTTGATTTGAAATCAGGTGCTTCTCTCTTATATATGGTTCGAGAGCTGCACGAAGTGCAGAAAAATTAAATGAAACAGCATGGGTTTGGCCTGCCTGGCAGCTAGAAATGGTTTCTCCAGAGCAGCCTGTGCTCCAGAGCAAACACTTATCGTACACAAAATAGCATTAAATTAAAAAACTTGCTTTGCTTGCAAGCTTCACTCAGACAGAGGCCTTTGTGTTTGTCTTAATTAATCCGCTTCCTCAATGTGTAATTATCTTTCAGCAAAATGCTTTGAATGGCTTTGTCACAGGTGAGTTTCACTCACAGCTTCACCCCATTCTTATTTTTAATTATGGTCAGGAAAATACCAAAGAGACTTATTGTTAATGAGGAATTGTTTTTTTTCAGGATCTCATTTTTGCTCCCTGAGTCTATGGGTGGACGGAGCGTAGACTGCTTGGAGAGCTATCATTGAAATTCGGCTCAAAGCAAAATTGGAAATGAATTGATGGGTACCTCCCTGAGCGAAAACCACCCAGGAAAGCCACAGCAAACAGTCTCAGGAATGCTTGTAAAAATTTTCCTGGGTTTGGGGGGAGGGGGGTGCCTACAAAATCATGAGTTTTTATCAGATTTTGAAAAAAAAATCAAAAAGAAATTTGAAGATTCCTCCTCAGAGGAATTTGATGGAAGTCAAAGGAATTTTGAGTAAATCAGCAACATTTCTTAGATGGGGTTCGCACATTCCCTTTTGCAGCTGGAAAAAAGGGCAAAATCTATTGCAGGAGAGAGCATTTGTAATCCTAATTAACTCTGAATGGTTGAATAAACATACATAATGTTGAAGGGGGGAGGGTGCTAAATGAAGTGGACTTAGCCCAAGGATATTGTTGCCAGCCCTGGGTTGGGAAGTTCCTGGAGATTTGGGAGGTAGAGCCAGGGAGGGGCAGACTGTGGGAAAGGGAAGGACCTCAGCAGGGTATAATGCCATAGAGTCGACCCTCTAAAGCAGCTATTTTCTCCAGGGGAACTGATCTTGGTCATCTGAAGATCAATTATAATAGTGGGAGATCTCCAGGTGACACCTGGAGATCTCCAACCCTACCAAAGGGACAAAAATGTTTCAGGAAATGGGTTTTATTTCCTAGTCAAAGCACAGCTGGATAGCCGTTTTGAAGCGTGATCAAAATGTCGTTGGCTACTTTGCACGTTAATATTACAGCATGTATCCTAAGCCTATACGTGCCACATATCAAGTGGTATAGAGTGTTGACCTAGCAGTGGGCCATGCAGTGCATGATCTTTGTTGTGCTTTGAGCTGCCAAGGAAGACCACATGCTTATTGCTGACATCTACACTGTCCCACCTCCTGTGCTTCTGAATTAGCAGACATCATTCCACAAAATGCAGTAAAATGTCCCTTGGATGTGAGCTGAGTCACCGTATTTGGTGGATATAATTTCCTTCAAAGGCAGGCTGCATAGCAACCAGACATGTGGCAGACCTCTTGAGATTTTTTGTTGCAAATCTTCTTGGGAAACGGTTCCCTTGAACAAGGGTTCCCAACCTCCCAGTGGTGGCTGGAGTTCTCCTGTGATTACATCTGATCTCCAGGTGACAGATCAGTTCACCTGGAGAAAACAGCCACCTTGGAAGGTGGACTCTATGGCATTATATCCCACCAAATTCCCTCCCCTCCCCAAACCCCTCCTTCCTCAGGCTCCACCCCCCATATCTCCAGGTATTTCCCCACCCAGACCTGGCAACTCTACCCTGAACATTTAATTGATTTTTACTGAAGGCTAAATTTGAGTGGGTATGGGTCACTGCATTTGCTTATTCAATAACTTGGGTGCTGGAATCATAGAGATATATCATGTGAACATGGTTGCAATTTACAGCTATTACACTGACAAACCTCTAGGTCTCAAAATGTGGATATCAAAATTCTATATTTGTGTCTTTCAGCTGGGGAGGGGTAAACACTTGTGTAAACTGCTCAGATTTGGGTCACAAGATTTTAGTTTTGGCGCCAGACAGAGCTACTTGTTACCCAGCTGGTTGCTGTTGGTTCTAAGCAAGGAAGGACTGGGATGGCATAGTTGATTGGGGGGACACGAGGAGAGGGCTTAGTCCTTGCCTGGGTCACTACTTTCCCCTACAGTTTCCCCCCTCCATCCATTTCTCCCCAGCACAGGTTCTAGACTCACGTCTCCACTGGAAGCACAGGTCTGAAACACCAGTTGAGGGTGATGAGAAGGAATTGCAGAGATCTGAGGGAAAGTGGTGGGCTGGATAACTTTACAGAGAGGAAACAGTGGGCAGGGTTTCCATACCAAAGGTGTCAGGAACTTTGTAGTTCCAGCTTTAGATATTCCTGGATCTGGGATGTACATTTTTGCCATCTTTCGCGCCCTTCTTCCTGAGGCACAGGCATCCGTGTGAACCTGTTCCACGATAAGGAGGAATGAGGAATTCCCAATAATAAAATATTCATCTGAAATTCCCACACTTGAAATTAGTTATTACAGCCTTTTTAAAAGCCACATGATTTTGGTTTCCTGTGAAACACCCATTTGACCTCTAGACCATCTGGTGTCCCTTGGCATTACCAGATAGTTGTATCTATGGGAAAGGTGAACCTTTATTTAAGTGAAACCGGTTCATACCTTACAGAGCCATTCTAATCAGCACTCCATCCTTCCAAGTCCACTGAATTCAATGGGTTTAGAGGAACTCTGGTTAGGATGGCACTGTTACAAAGGACTCCTTTATTTTGATGTATTCACTCATTTAGCCTTAGCTGAAAACCTGCTTCTCACCACCTAATTGCTTTGAAGTACCACATCTATGCAGTTTTTGTCTTTTCTAAGAGCTTTGATCTGTGAATGTTATATGAAAACACAGCAAGCCTCATTACCACTTCTCATAGGTAACTGTCCCTAAAGCGGTTTCAGTGGACAGGTTCTCTGGGCCACAAAGAATACCTGGGTCGACTCAGCAGTCAATTGCTTTTTCTGAGAAATGGTTTTGTTGTCCTTTCTGGGAAAGACAATGCAATATTTTCATTGAAAGAAAGGAAGGGGGGGGAGAAATAAGAAAAAGAGAACTCCCCACAATTTGATCCAGAGGATCATTGGGAAAATGAAGAATTTGTAAAGCAAAATAACCATTTCCAGGTCTGTATGGTTCTAGCTTATTTCTGGGCCCATGAGAAGCTGGCAGCCAGTGAAACAGTATGTCATTTGCTCACTCCTAGTGTTACAAACTGCTGCAAAAGCAATGGTAAAGCAAACAGCTGCGGCGTCCCCTCCGTTCAACCGTGGCCCATCTACTAAGGCCCACTTGAGAGCCAATGGCCTATCTGTTTGCTCGGGAGCTGCCAAGGAAATGAAGCTGTGTCTGCCGATGGGAATCTGACTCCACCTGCCACAGAACACTGCACCTAAGAGAAAAACAATGAACCAACATAACAGTGAACGTTCTCACCGTATAGCAAGGGGCGCCAGCTTGGTGTAGTGGTTAAGTGTGTGGACTCTAATCTGGGAGAACCGGGTTTGATTCCCCACTCCTCCACTTGCACCTGCTGATGTGACCTTGGGTCAGTCACGAGCTCTGGCACAGCTGTCCTTGAAAAAGAGCAGTTTGTGTCAGAGTTCTCTCAGCCCCACCCACCTCACAGGGTGTCTGTTGTGGGGAGGGGAAGGGAAAGGAGTTTGTAAGCCGCTCTGAGACTCCAAGTGAAGGGTGGGGTATATCCACTCTCTTCTCTTCTTCTTCTTCTGTAAGCGGCAGTGGATACCGACCCAAGTCTGAAGTAAAGGATCCAAACTGTACTCCAGAAAGGCCCAAACATTCCCAAACCCAGGCCGTAACAACCCCAAACTGGTGCCTGGTCAGCAGAGTTCCCTCCGCAAGCCTGAAGTGCATAAAGCACACTTGAAGTGCAACCAGCCCAGGTCGCTGGTGACCCTTGTATCCCTGCCAGGGAAGTGGCTTGCCATGGTCCTCCGGAGCCCCCTTTACCAAGACATTCATATACTGCCTTAGACATTCCACTTCATTTTCACAGCAAAGTTTGCGTCCGCACAGTCATTACGATTTGCAGGGCACTGCACTGATCAAGTGAAGTAAATTACTGTTATTCCTGGACAGTGTTGCCAGCTATCTGGCAATGTTATTTACCTCCATGCCAAGAAAAACAAGGGCTGCACATTTGCACACATTAAGTCCATATTAAACAGACAAGCCTTTTCTTTCTAGATCCTTCAGTAACTCTGCACTCTAAACGATAGGAAATTAATGCCTCGAATTGTCACTGGCTAAAGTCTGTATCAGAAGAGAGCATCTCTGATCGAGTTCCAGATCCACTGGATTGCCAACTGTGGGAACAATACCAATAGGAAAGGTAGGCGTTCTCTCACTGCCTTGGAGCTCCTTAGAGAACTCTCCACCGTTTGCATGCGGACCTGAACAGGGAGCCATCCATTGTTTTAAATCCAGTGACTGCTCCAATAAGGCATTTTCCAGTACTTATGGTATTTAATTGATTCTAGTTCTTTAATAACTACAAAGACACATCCCAGCTCTAAAGACATGACATTGCCAATCCACAATGTGGTGTCACTTCAAAAACCTGTATAATATTTAGATATTATTATTATTATTATTAATAATAATAATAATAATAATAATAAACAACACTGTACCCTAAAGAGTGTCTTGTACCTATCATTTCTTATAGACACTGGGTTCCTATCCTAAAAACCAAGAACGAGCACAACAGTAAATGTGACCGGCTCCGTCTTACAAATGGTAAATGCACATACATGCGGGCTGTATGCTCATTCATTGTAATGTGAACATGGCTTCAGGAAACCTATTCACATATACATGAGAAAGGCTGGACTGCCAGGTCAGGAAGTAGCTTCTTTCCTGGCCAAGTGAGTGGGCAGAACAGCAGTCCAACCCCTTGGCTTCAAAAGCCCTGCCAGCCCCCTC